ATTAGTGCACTAGGCCTTTATTACTCCTGTATGAGCAGAGAAAATAACTCATCAACAAACATTTCCCTTAGCTGCCTCACAATAATTTTACCAAAAAAAAAAAATTTGACCAGCCCACCCCAATAAAGGATTGTCCGGTCCTTCTAGCATTTGCCAGAATTGCCAGACGGCCAATCCGCCCATGGGAACAGTATACGACTGCTATCAATCATGTGAAAAGGATGTGGTTGTAGTGGTAGAAGTTGCAACACATGATGTGTAGTTGTTTTCTGGAGGATTGGTCAGGCAGCATAGGGGTGAAGACGGAGGCACTTAAAGACACTTTTCACGTCTTCTGGCTGACCAATCGGGCACAGGGGTCTCAAGGTTGACAGCTCTCTGATGCATGACAGTGAAACAGGGTTTCCGTTGGCGTTCCTTACAGCGAGGTCAGCACTTCTGTACACACAGTTCTGTTCTGGTGTTCTGCACCAAGAACACAGACAGCCCCGCTGATGGACTGTCTGCAGCCACCTGTGTGTGTGTGTGTGTGTGTGTGTGTGTGTGTGTGTGTGTGTGTGTGTGTGTGTGTGTGTGTGTGGATGAGTGTGTGTGTGTGTGTGGATGAGTGGGAGTGTAGTTCTGTTGTTTACCACATTCTGTTCTGAACCTCTCTCTCCCATGCAGCATACAATCAACTACTATATTCAGTTGAAACCCCTAGCTAATGTATTATTTCAGTCCAAGGAGTAAGGTTTCTTGACTAAACAGTCAATTGTCAGATACTATATTTCCACAACATAAATACAGTATGTTTTCCTCAGTATAATACCCACTTTGATTTAAATACACATACATACAGCTGAAAGCAGTGCTACAGCATTGTAGTTCTATATCAGTTATCTGCTGAGACCCATCCACTGCAGTGAAGCCAGGAGAGACAGGTGTGTGTCAGACGATCCAAAGCACAGATAAGGTCTATAATCACCTCCCTGTAGAAGGACATTAAGAAGATATTGTCACAGCCAAGATGATAATATTTGACACTGCAGGGATAGCTTGGAGTGGAATGAAGTGTAGAAAGATAAAGGGTGCCAAGGTGCCCCTTAATCACCACGTTCATCCTCCTGTCTTCAGTTTATATATCCAGAGAATATAGAGAAAGTTAACACATACTTAAACATAGGCTACACTGATGTTTTATTGAATAGTCTACACACAAAGATCAGTCCGTGTAGCCTACTGTCAATTCCAAGGACCTGCCGTCCAGACTCCCAATAGGCTTTCCTCATAATCTGTTTCATGCACTATTTCAATTGCTAATTACACTGCATACATTTACAGAACTATAATTTCTCAGTTACTATCTTATAGGCAATATATTGTGAACTATAACTAGTGAAAAGAAAGCAGTCTGTCTTCAATGAGACTATATGAAGGTGTCCAAGCGCAAAGTCTGCTTTTCAACAGACGACAGTAACCCTGCCCCTTGTCTCCACCCTCCTAATGAATTGGTTTTGCCCTGTTTGGGAGAAAATTACCCTTCCCTCCCCTCCTAATTTTCCAATTTTCTGTGTCATTTATATGTAATTGAGGATCGTATTGGGCCATATTAGTCCCACAAATAGGATGATATACTTTATTGAAGTACTGCTTTATAAAGAGGCCCTCGTAAACAAAACATCAATTGTGGCCCTTGGAGGAGACTAGGGCTCTCTGGTAGATTGTGTGGTTTTGTATAAGAGGCTCTAATTATTTATTGGAGGGCAATCCTGGTTGCTGCTCCACTACCATTATATAGACACTCTTTTTTCAATGGGTTGTAATGAGAAAAGAGCGCTGTGTTGCTCTGCTGGTGTTTGCAACTCATATTCTTTAACCAAATAGGAAAAGCTTGTTTTCACCTGCAGAGACCTGGGCCAGCATAGGAATGTAAAGGTATTAGTATTTTTAACATCAGAGCACCTTGCAGGGAGGTTGTTTTTCTTTCTGTTTGGGGAAGTGTAACTTTGTGCCCTTGATGCTTAATTGTTCATAGACAGAAAACAGCGGCAGGCATGGCATAAACTTGTTCTGCTTTATGCATAAAGACAAACCCTACCCTGATATTCAAGCATACGGGCCACATTCAAAAGCTTTAAACGTTTTAAAAATTGGCAAATTATGTGTAAAATACAGTTGGCTAACAAAGTCTATTAAACTTTTGTTTTCGTTGTCTACTTTTTCCTTTAAAAAGTTGTGAAAACATTTCATGGATACCTGAGCTTGGTAGATACACTCAGCACTATATAAGAGTGGCTGGTTATTTGCAGGGCTGAATTCAGAGGATTCTTTTTGGCAGCAGATGTTCCCTCAGCCTGTCGCTAGGATTCCTTTGTGACAGAGGGGCCGCCCATGAAAACGCTATTAGGCCCCCACCAGCCGCCAGACAAGCGCGTGCCCAGACTGTCAAATTTGGGCCACCCTACCACCCTCTACCATCGCCATGTGTCTTTTGCCCTATCCGTCACCCCAACTCAACCCTTAGACGCAAAACTACACAACATGAAAAGGAAATGTTTATTTCCTTGTCTTACAATACACCTTGGTAAAAACAACGAAACACCACCGGGGCCATGACCCTGGCCCCAGCTGAACTGAGTGAGAGGCGCAGTGGTGGCAGATGGGGAGTCTGTGAATAAATCGATTAGGGAGCCTTTGACGGATGGGGTTTGTAGGGGCGCACGACACACCAGAGAATTAATTTGGCTAGGCGAAAAAGCCATGCCAGGACCATTAATCTCGGCACAAATTTGGCCATTTCCCAGGTCTAGGGGCTCAATTAGGCAGTGTTTCCAACAGTTTTGGGGGGAATAAGGTGTGTTGAGGAATACGTAGCGCTGATGTTTCAGATGTGTGCTTTAATTATGAAAGATTTAAGGAATAAGGAATGAGCAAAATATATAGAGGAATAGCTGAATGTGTATAAGCTCTGATCACAACAGGTAGATTCCACATCAAGATTATTTGCTATATACTCAGGTTAAATTAAACCTAATTTAGCCATAGTCAATCTCTTTCTCTACTACATGTGCTACAGTGCCAATAGCTGAATTGCATCCTGTATTTCTGAATCCCCTGTCTGATGAGTTCCACCCCACCCTAGTCCCCACCCTCTGATTCAGTGTCTCTCTAGATGATTTATGTAGCAGGGTCACTGTATGACCTCCAAACCCTTCCCATCCATTCAGCACCTGTCACCAAACCGCCGCCTATGTGCGCTTACTGAAAACCTGGCCATGCGTGCAAAATGGCAATTTTCCATCCTCCCTAAAAAATCAATTCAGTGGGAAAGTAGAAATGTGATAAGTAAAACAGGTGTGCCACTCAATGTGCTAACGAGGGAGCTGAACTGCACGCGCCACTGGCCACAACATCTGTCACGCTGCTGAATTAGATTCTACCCCTGGAACACAGTTTGCAGAGTGAGAGGCGATGATCGGGAGCTTAGATTGGATACAAATGAGATGAGAGGGGGGGGGGGGTGTAGTGGGCTTGTGACATATTATAGGGGGACATATTGGAGGGGTGCAGACCCATACCTGTCAGAGCCCAGGGCGGTACCCCATCTGACCCCCTATACCCTCCCCTAAGAGATGCTAATGAGCTTGTCAGCCTTAATAAGGCCTAATTGGAGGCGTTGCATGTCCCTGAAGGTCGGAGGGCGCGTTACAGAGCCAGCAGTGCGACAGCTTGCCACTTCCTGCTAGCTAGGGTTACATGGCTCACCTCTGTTCTCTGCATAAACAAAGTCAAGAAAGGACAGAAACCTTGCATTTTAGCAGACGCTCTTATCCAGAGCGACTTACAGGAGCAATGTGTAAAGTGCCTTGCTCAAGGGCACGTTGGCAGAATTTTCACCTAGTCAGCTTGGGGATTCAAACCAGCGACCTTTCGGTTACTGGCCCGCTCTTAACCGCTGGGCTACCTGCCGCACTTAAGCTTGCTATTGCAGTGTGGTAGGATTGGAGTTGCAATTTGTAGTTGAGATTATAAAGTTGAAAGATGCCTCAATTTCAAGACTGAATAGATGAATAGAGCACGACTGAATGAACCCCCATATAACGCAATGAATGAAAGCACTGTTTTTCATTTTGCCTTGTGCTTCAATACAAAGAGAGCACTTGTATAAACTCAGTAGAATACATCTTGAATTGCAACACTTCGCTTGTTAAACCCATTTACAACTAATAAGCTGAAAGACCTTGAAATGTGTCCATTTCAAAAAGCAAAACGCTTTCAGGCTATTGTGGATGGCACAATGGAGAAAGCCAAGGTATACATTTTGTGCATATTTTTGTCTGAATAGGGTAGGTATTTGATAAGACTGTCATCGGTGAGGACTGTTTATCATTGTATTGGAAACCAGGGCAGTCTGGCTGACAGCTAAAAGGCTGCAGTCAGGAACTGAAGATCCATTAAGCTATTCCACTGTAACATACTGCCACCTACTGGGTATAGAGGACAAGTGCATCCTAGAGAAATAAGTGGAAGCAATCTTACCCACAAAAAAAGTTCCATTACAGGAAAAAGTGAGAAATTATGTACAATTGGCAAAACAATGGTTGAAATACAATTTTATTTATACAAAATATCTGCATTGTTGCAAAGTTTGTGTTTAAAATAAAGTGAATATATTGATAAAAGTTATCAAAACATCAGTCCAGGGTAAACCTACACAAAACACAGCCCTTATTTTAAGTGTTTCTAAAATCCCCTATGGGAAAAATGAATGGTGGAAAAACAATTGGAACCATTTCCCTGTTTGACTGCTAGGTTTTATGGGTATTATGACAAGCCCATTGTGGGGCTCTATACAGTACAGTATTAGTTTGTCAAACACCACCTGTTTTCCCAGTGCAAGTTACTCTTCTCTCATCCTCACTCCACTCCTTAGAATTCCCTCCCCCCATTCCTCTCTCCTAACCTCCTCCTCTGTCTCTGCTAATCTCCCCTGCTACTCCTCCTTTCCTTTATCTCTTCACTCCCATTTTCTCCTCCCCCTAATCCTCCTCCCTCCCTCACTCTCTCCAGCTCAGCCCCAGTGTCTGAGCGATGAAGGAAAAGATGTGTGTATCCTCCAGGATGGCCTTAGCAGTAGGCTTGCCCGCTCCATGCCCGCTGCGGGTGTCCACCCTGACCATGAGAGGCTGGCGCTGCCCGGAGCTGCTGCCCACACCGTGCTGCAGTGTGGCACAGTACTTCAGGGTGTGGAGGGGCACCACCCGGTCGTCATGGTCGGCAGTCAGTAGGAGCATGGCAGGGTAGACAGCGCCAGCTTGAGGGGCAGGGGGGAGGTTGTGAAGAGGGGAGTACCTGAGAGTGAGAGGGGAGAGAATTTAGTTCTACCAAATATTTATTGTACAAATTACGAAGTGCATGTGCAGAGCTACAATGCTGCGTCCAATGCGTTTGTGGTCATGTTCAGTATTTGATGTATGTTCCAAATATTTATTGTACAAATTACGAAGTGCATGTGCAGAGCTACAATGCTGCGTCCAATGCGTTTGTGGTCATGTTCAGTATTTGATGTATGTTTAGTGAGTGTGTTTGTGAGATTGAGTATGCCAGACTTACTCAAAGAGCCATTTGAACTGCTCAAGGTGGTCTGCACAGCCGTAGTCAGTGGTCCAGGCGTGGCCGATGGTGAACTTGTGGAACTTGAGCATGTCCATCACCCCAACTTCTGCCACAGCACAGCCAAACAGGTCCGGACGTTGGTTCACACATGCCGCTGGGTGTGTGTGAGTGAGAGAGTTAAATCTCAGACACACCGGTAGGATTGTCAAACATTTACCTGCCAACAGTACTTAGCACCTCTGAACAGTGTCTTAGTCAATCTCTTTTGTGTCCACACAGCCAAGACCTTGGAAGTCATCAGCCACTCAACCTAGTTAAAATACTCCAAACCAGAAGGTGGCAGCAGTGTTGTTTGGCACACAGCATGTACTGCTTTTGTTCTAGCAAGAGAAGGAACGGGCTCCCACTGTGATAAGTACCTATCGGCAGTGAGATTCTAGGTGTGTTGTGAGTGAAAGAGACCTATCTTACACTTGTTAAATGCGTAATTCTACTTTTTAAAACATACCCAACTCACTCTTTGACAAGCACACACACACACACTACAGCAACATCCAATCTTTCATAATGGCCACTTAAAATAGGGAAGTACACTTTAGTTGGGTTTGTACAATGCCATATGGTTGGCAGTCTTTCTAAATCATGTAGCTAACTATTGTTTAATGTGTTGTGTAATCACTGAATTAATTGAAGCCAAGTAGCTAACTACTATTTGATGGATTTTACATTAACAATTATACTGAAGATATAAAAAAATGAAAATAGATAATGCAGTTATGACTGATCGAACTAGGAGACAATTTAGAAATATTGTCTTAAAACACACACACACACACACACACACACACACACACACTTCCCCATCCCCTCTCCATACCCACGAGCAGTCCCCCATTGGAGGCTCCGTTGATGGCTATACGGCTGGCTGTGGTGTAGTTCTCTTGGATCAGATACTCTGCTGCACACTGGAAGTCATCAAAGCAATTCTGCTTGTTCCCCAGCGTACCACCTAGACAGAGACAGGAATTCAACTCGACAGGATACAGCCATAGTCTATAGATAATATAATAATAATAATAATGGCCATTTAGCAGACATTTTTAACCAAAGCATGCAAAGCATCCATACATTTTACGTGCAGGTGGTCCCGGGAATCAAACACACTATCCTGCCGTTGCAATTGCCAAAGCGCCGCCATGCTCTACCAACTGAGCTACAGAGATAAACTGGGGCTGGATCTCAATAGTCATATCTACAGTAGTTTCCTGCTCATCTCATTAGCTCCACCCAAGGATGAAAGGTGAAGGCAAAATAGTGAAAAGCTGTGCTAGTAAAATAGACTAGCGAATCACAGCCCGTAGTTTTAGGTTAAATCAAGCTATTTCTATGTGTCTTTAGGTGGTGAAGATACAGTACCTTTGTGCCAGGTCTGTCCATACTCCCCTCCTCCTCTGATGTTGGCTACAGCCAGGATTCCCCCCAGGTGTTTGACAAAAAGCAGGTATGGAACACTGACACACACAGAGAGACACAGAGCAGACAGGTGTCAATCAAATCACACTGACACAGAATACAGGTTATTTGGATGAATTATAGACTGAATTCCTGGAGGGGAAAGATACATAATGTTCCACTGGAGATTCATGCATTGTGATACTAACTTGTAGTATGGTTGGATGGAGTGCTCAAAGCCTCCATATCCATACAGGAAGACAGGATGTGATCCATCCTTCTTTAGGCCCCGGGCGTGCACCAGAAACATGGGGATTTTAGTTCCATCCTTACTGGGGTAAAACACCTGAAACACACAGCAATGTTGTCATACTGAGATTGTCAAGATACTATAAGTTGTTACTGTAAATAGTGGAATCTGCTGTTGTCATGCCTGGTTGGTGTCATAGTCCTCTGGTTGAATACCCTTCACCTCCACCTGTCTGAACACTGTGGGATCTGGAGACGCCTGGCTCAAGTCACAGTGGTAGATCACACCTGGGAGGGACACGACATAAGGAGGTCAAAAGTTAGAGATAAAGAGAAAGTTGGCAGGGAGGGTACCCAACAGTAGTATTCAATGTTAAGTCTTCCTTTGTGTTGAATGTTAGTTGTCACTCAATAGTAATAGTGAGGATATAATCCCTAATGAATCATAATTATGTGAAAATACACAAAAGGAGGCATAAACACTTCAGACTCGTTCATAGGTTAGTCACAATAAATTACATATCATTTTCATCTATCTAACACCACAAAATAAGTTGGAGTATCCCCTGCGTGACAGTACAGTACCTGGCGTGGTGAAGGAGGTGAACTTGTAGAAGAAGTCGGAGTGTTTCTTCTTACAGCTGAGGCCCACCACAGTGCCCACGTCCAGAGGCAGATCTCTGACCAGACCACCAGTGGACAGCTCATACAGCTGCAGGATGTCCTTCACATCATGGACATAGTTGACCAGCAGGTGGCGCTGGTTCACACAGGCCACAGAGCCTATAGGAACACAGAGAAAATGCTTACAATGTAGGCTAATTGGGTTCTTTATGAGCATATCAGCAGGTCATTTATTTCTGTTTAAAACTTGAACCATTTTCAGCTAAATAATGAAACTGGTCTTGGATTATAATAAAGGAATAATGCACCAACAACCTGACATATACATTGAGTGTACAAAACATTAGGAACATCTTCCTAATATTGAGTTGATTGAGTTGCACACCCTTTTGCCCTCAGAACATCCTCAATTCGTCGGGGCATGGACTCTACAAGATTCCACGGGGACGCTGGCCCATGTTGACTCCAATGCTTCCCACAGTTGTGTCAATTTAGTTGGCAGTGGATCTCTACTCTGAATAGCTCATTCCATCTCATCCCACAGATGCTCAATTGGATTGAGACCTGGTGACTGGGCAGGCCACTGCAGTAAGCTGAATTCACTGTCATGTTCTTGGAACCATTCCTGGATAATCCTAGCCTTGTGGCATGGGGCATTATCCTGCTGAAAAAATTAATTCACTGCTGCCATGAATGGATGCACCTGATTGGCATTGATGTTCAGATATCCTGTGGCATTCAAATGTTGCTCCACTTTTATCAAGGGACCCAATGTATGCTATGAAAACCCACCCCACACTATCACACCACCACCACCAGCTTGCAATGTTGACACGTGGCATGATGGATGCATGTACTCATGGTTTTCTTCATACCCTAGTCCTCCCATCAGCAGGAACCGGGATTCTTCAGACCAGGCAATGTTTTTCCAATTCTCCAGTGTTTTTGTTCCTTAGCCCACTGCTGAAAGAAGTGGAACTCTGTAAGGTCGTCGGCTGCCATACCCCATTCGTGTCAAAGTACGACGAGTCATGCATTCTTTTATGGGTCTTTGGGCACCAATGTTGTACTGGACTGTCACTTGACTAACTGTAGCCCATCTATTGCGCTGCACAATTCGTGTCAGCCTCCTTTGTCCCATTTCATCAATGACCCGTTTTCGACCACTGGCCTGCTGTTGGCTGGATGTCCTTTGGAAGGTGGACCATTCTTGTTACCAACGGGAAACTGTTGCGCGTGAGCGGGAGCGCAGCCTATCCAGCCATGACATTACCCAAGGCTGGTTTAGCAGCTTCGCATAGGTGTCTTTTTATCCTAACCATTAGCCAAAAGTAGCCTATGAACAAAGGTTTTAAATTGTCTTTTTTAAAATATTTTATTTTTATTTCACCTTTATTTAACCAGGTAAACCAGTTGAGAACAAGTTCTCATTTACAACTGCGACCTGGCCAAGATAAAGCAAAGCAGTGCGATAAAAAACAACACAGAGTTACATATGGGGTAAACAAAACATAAAGTCAAAAATACAACAGAAAATGTATATACAGTGTGTACAAATGTAGCAAGTTATGGCGGTAAGGCAATAAATAGGCCATAGTGCAAAATAATTACAATTTAGTATTAACACTGGAATGATAGATGTGCAAGAGATGATGTGCAAATAGAGATACTGGGGTGCAAATGAGCAAAATAAATAACAATATGGGGATGAGGTAGTTGGGTGGGCTAATTTCAGATGGGCTGTGTACAGGTGCAGTGATCAGTAAGGTGCTCTGACAACTGATGCTTAAGGTTAGTGAGGGAGATAACAGTCTCCAGCTTCAGAGATTTTTACAGTTCATTCCAGTCATTGGCAGCAGAGAACTGGAAGGAATGGCGGCCAAAGGAGGTGTTGGCTTTGGGGATGACCAGTGAGATATACCTGCTGGAGCGCATACTACGGGTGGGTGTTGCTAGGGGGACCATTTTACATTTTTACATTTTAGTCATTTAGCAGACGCTCTTATCCAGAGCGACTTACATTATCTTTTTATTTTTCATACTGGCCCCCCGTGGGAATTGAACCCACAACCCTGGCGTTGCAAACGCCATGCTCTACATCCCTGCCGGCCATTCCCTCCCCTACCATGCACGACGCTGGGCCAATTGTGCGCCGCCCCATGGGTCTCCCGGTCGTGGCCGGCTACGACAGAGCCTGGATTCGAACCAGGATCTCTAGTGGCACAGCTAGCACTGCGATGCAGTGCCTTAGACCACTGCGCCACTCAGGAGACGGGACCAATGAGCTAAGATAAGGTGGGGATTTGCCTAGAAGTGATTTATAGATGACCTGGAGCCAGTGGGTTTGGCGACGAATATGTAGTGAGGGCCAGCCAACAAGAGCGTACAGGTCACAGTGGTGGGTAGTATATGGGGCTTTGGTGACAAAACGGATGGCACTGTGATAGACTACATCCAATTTGTTGAGTAGAGTGTTGGAGGCTATTTTGTAAATGACATCGCCGAAGTCAAGGATCGGTAGGATAGTCAGTTTAACGAGGGCATGTTTGGCAGCATGAGTGAAGGAGGCAGGTATACTGAAATATTTTTGAGGTTTTTGCCCTCATGCTTTTTCATTATTCACAATTCACATACCTGCATTTCGCTTGATCAAGTAGGCTATCCATCCCTATTTTCAAAGAGCACCACTCGTCCGATTACCAAAGACAAGCTCCTCCAAACTATTCAGTCATTCTATAATGCCATATCAACAGCAGATTCTTTTGAGACTCTGCCTCGCACTTAGGAAACGATACAATTGACAGGAACCTAGTATTTTGTATAGACGTGCAAATGTTATGTGTAAAGACATTTAGGCCTACATGTGCACACAGTGCCGTGGAACGAGAGAAGAGATTTATGACATCATCCTTCTGATCTGATCCTATTTAGAAATATTGTTGTTGGTTTAAAAAAAAAAAACGGATTGATTGTTTTTCACTTAATTTGATTAAAAACCATACTTATTAGAAACATTCACCATCCATGGGTTTATGGTGAGAACGTACATGGCTCGAATCCAATGCAATTTCGTCTGCTGTTTCTGGAGAAGTGCAAATATTAACTGTAAGATGGTTCCATGATGTTTATAAAACATTACATTTGCGAGCAGTATAATGGTGAATGGACGTACCCCCTTTCTCTTTATATTGGATCTTTATCCAGCTCCTGTGAAAAGTTTGGATGTGTGTAAAACCCTTCATGATCTGTTGCCTTGTCTGTATTATACGCCCACGGGGAGCAATTATGGTGCCTGTAAATGTATTTAGACATAGCCTATTTAAAACAAGTTGTCGTTTCGTTTTTATTAGAATTTGTTTAGAATTATACACTGTCTTTTTAGGCCTTATCAATAGCCTAGTGAATTGAATCTTGCTTATTGACTACGTTTGGCATGTCCATGTCCAGACTGCAATTTACAGTAGGCCTAGTCCCTATATCAGTGCAAATGCTATAACCTATGTTTAAGAATGTATTTCCATATTAAAGCAATGCAATTAGAACAATGTGGACTACAAACATATTCATCGTATTTAGCAAATATGGGGCTGGCTATTTAACGAACTAGGCTATAACAGACTAACATTCGAATTGGAGATGATGATATATATATAAAATACCATAAATACACAACCTAAAGCAACCACATATTTAGCCATGGAGCACGTTCTGATTGGCCAAGCCTCGACACAACTTGTTTATTCATCAAAACCCAGCCTTTTCGCACCACTGCCAGCTAATGTGTCCATCATTTCGGTTGTGAAAATAGCACAAATATTTTGGACTCACCCCCAAACCTATAACGCTACTGCCAGCACTAAGATTTACCATTGCGTTAGCTTTGTTAAAATACAGCCCTTATAGGCAGATGAAACACCACTGCTCTAATGATATCAGTCAATATGGTAGCAATATGTTTTGGTGAAGAACATCCTTGTGGTATGTCAAAGGGGTAGACATCACGTGAAAAGTGATGCACTTTCATATGAACTGTTCCTGCCCGACTAGATTGAAGATGCGTGCCAGATCTTACCAAGCCTGGATAGGTATCTTATGACCTAGAAACTTGCTACGTCGCAAACCTCTTGCAGGTGTGGTGGATGTCAAAACGTAATTCATGAGACAAAGTTCCTGGACAATGCTTACAGTGCCTTCAGAAAGTATTCATACCCCTTTACTTATTCCACATTTTGTTGTGTTATAGCCTGAATTCCAAATTTATTTAATATGATTTTTTCTCACCTGTCTACACACAATACCCCATAATGACAAAGTGAAAACATGTTTGAGACCACTGCTCAAGTTTCTCTTACCCAGGACGTCCTTGTCGTGCTGGGGTAGGAGGGTCCTCCAGTGGTCCTTGTCTGGTTTCTCCAGGTCAATGTTGATCAGGCAGTAGCGAGGGGCATCCAGGTTGGTGCGGAAAGTGAACACACTGCCCTCGTTGGTGATGTAGGAGTACTGCGCCTCAAAGTTAGCCACCAGCTTCACCCAGGGCAGCAGGCCTATGGGTACAGATGCAGTCAAATACTGAACAAAAATATAAACGCAACATGTAAATTGTTGGTCCCATGTTTCATGAGCTGAAATAAAAAGGCCCAGAAATGTTCCATACGCACAAAAAGCTTAGGAGTATTACTGTCTGCAATAAAGCCCTTTTGTGGGGAAAAACTCATTCTGATTGGCTGGGCCAGGCTCCCCAAATCCATAGATTAGGGCCTAATTTATTTATTTCCTTATAGGAACTTTGAAATTGTTGCATGTTGCGTTTATATTTTTGTTCAGTATATATTGGCACGCTTGCAATATACAATGGAGTGCAATGGAGCAGAATGTGGTTAGAGATACATTACCAGTCAACTAGAATCACTTGCCTCCAACCACATTCATTTAAATTTAAATTTGAATAATTTAGTCCAGGCCATTTTTTTACTTTGAAGTGAAAAACCTACATTTCAGTTTTTCTTGGTCCTGTGCAGTTGTAAATCAAATACCAAAAGTTGTTTTAATTTCAACTTATTTTAGAAGAAAAAGTTAATCGTGCAAGGGTGCAAAAATATTTGACCGCATCTGTACAGGACAATAAGAACTAGTATTGGGACGCTCCTATGATGTCAGGTATTCAGGGTCTGATTAAGATGGTAGGGACAGACCTGTGATGCCATTGGGCAGCTTCTGCAGGTCACAATACCACAGCTGGTTGACTGGCTCACAGCCCTCTGTGATGTCCAACACTGCATACCTGCCGTCATCTGACACCTAGAGAGAGAGAGAGAGACAGAGATAGTGCAGGCATGAGAGTGAGAGAGAGACAGATTGTGAGATAGGGGGACAGAGCATATGATTGAGAAAGAAAATACTAAAATGATCTGATGCTTGAGTACTAGCTGACGCTATGCCTGCATTAGCAATGCGAGTCTTTACTTACAAATTGAGATCATAAGATAGACAGAGAAGACAGATCTGGGATTGAGAAAGAGATGCAAACAAGGTGGAGGAGAGAGACAAAAGTGAGGGAGATGAGACATAAAGAGAGATTGACAGAGTGATAGCAGTAGATTCATATGGAGAATGTGGTGTACAACAGGTGGGAAATGGAATGGAAAAAGCATTCTCTCTTCTAAGCCCACCGTTACTCCACTGTGCCATTTTGGATTGTCAGGGAACTCAGCCACCAGGATGTCCTCTGATTGGTTGGTGCCGATCACATGGTAGTAGAGTTTCTGGTTGAGGTTGGATGTGGTCTCTGTGCCTGTGTGGAGCAATGCAGAAAGCTGATTGGGTAACAGCACCTTTAGCGGAGTTGCAACAACCGGATGCATTCGGTTTTCAGGGATACATCTAATTGAACCTAGCTTCCTTTTCCACTGAAAACCGGATGTCGGAACTAGGGCTATGGTGGTCATGAAATTTTGGGAGCCAGTGATTGGTCAAACAAATAACTGCTGGTCTCATGGTAATTGACCGTTAATTAGCATAAACATGTTTAGCATCTCCTTGCTTCCACGCACAGCCTACAAGCCACTGATGCAGACCTTTGGAACATCTACATTTAAAAAAAAGTATAATACATGCATTTATTATAGCCTACACCATCACAATAAATCAATTATTTATTTTAGACAGGTCTAACGAAACATGATTTTTATTTCAGAAGAACAGAATAGCATACTTTGAGTCGTCCTTATGTTAGGCCCTGATATGGCTATGCCATATGGCTGTGGGCTACACTAGTTTATTTAGCAGACAAGACTTGCTTAGAATTCCGTGGCGTTATTTTTTATTATTTTATAGTATGAAGAATACAATTGAACATAGCTTAATAAAATAGAAAGGATATTTTCTCCAAACGATTTCAAAGGAAGTGCGCACATGTGACTATTCCGTGTTGAGCAGTTAAGAAAGAAACTGGTCCTCCTATGTGCTTAATTTAGAGTTATTTATGTAACTTTAGTTGTGATACAAACGTTGGGCTATATGTTTTGATGTTTAATACATTCTAAGGCTGCATGATGGGACTCTAATGATGATTTGAAAAAAGTCACAAGCTGCACACACTTCATCAGTCTCTCATTCACACTTTGACAAGCACTTGATAATATTCTCACCAGGCCTCTAATATCCCAGCGGCATCCCCCTTGTGTGACCGTAATGCCCCCTAAAAAATCCATGCCTTTTGCGGCCAAAGTGGCCTTTGTGCCCTTGGGTTGAATATAATAGGCTAATTATAATTCCCTTCTCCAGGCTGCCGTGCTCCGAAGCACCTCTCACTCACATGGCTCTCTCAGATGTAGCAAATGCCCGTCACATGAACGGGTCCTTCTCATAGGCATTTCAGCTAAGAAGTAGGCTACAAGTGAATGAAGACAGACACATCGGGGACGCAACTGCGCGCGTCCCTCATCGAATTCCGAGGTGCATATTGAATATATTACAACTGTCCATACAGTTTGCGCTTATAGCCTACTTTTCGTCAGCCAACAAGATGAGTAGGCCTAACGAACAGCGAAAGCACTAGCCTATGTCAATCTACTATCCCCCATAGTACAAAGGTTGACCTATTCTATTGGTCAACTTGTCCTTCTGTGCAAGAAAGAAAGAAAATCCAAACATACTCTGGGACAGTTGCGATAGATCCCAAATACAACCCCTCGCATCAAAAAACCTTTTAAAAGCAATGAGGCTGATCGTTTAGCTTAAAATATTGATAAACTATTAGGCTATTTTTTCACATTATGTGCGCAGCAATGCGCACACGGCAGTAGGCTATAAGCGCAAATGTTCCAAAATGCAATCAATTAGCGGGAAAACACTATTCTCGAAAGTGACAGCAAATGCGATTATGCATGTAATGCTTTATTATACAGTCCCTTGCAAGGGTATTCATCCCCCTTGGCGTTTTTCCTATTTTGTTGCATTACAACCTGTAATTTAAATGGATTCTTATTGGGATTTCATGTAATGGACATACACAAAATTGTCCAAATTGGTGAAGTGGAGTGAAAAAAATAACTTATTTCAAATAATTCAAAAAAATAAATAACGGAAAAGTGGTGCGTGCAAATGTTTTCACCCCCTTCGCTATGAAGCCCCTAAATAAGATCTGGTGCAACCAATTACCTTCAGAAGTCACATAATTAGTTAAATAAAGTCCACCTGTGTGCAATCTAAGTGTCACATGATCTGTCACATGATCTCAGTATATATATACACCAGTTCTGAAATGCCCCAGAATCTGCAACACCACTAAGCAAGGGGCACCACCAAGCAAGCGGCACCATGAAGACCAAGGACCTCTCCAAACAGGTCAGGGACAAAGTGGTGGAGAAGTACAGATCAGGGTTGGGTTATAAAAAAATATCTGAAACTTTGAACATCCCACGGAGCACCATTAAATCCATTATTAGAAAATGGAAAGAAAATGGCACCACAACAAACCTGCCAAGAGAGGGCCGCCCACCAAAACTCACGGACCAGGCAAGGAGGGCATTAATCAGAGAGGCAACAAAGAGACCAAAGATAACCCGGAAGGAGCTGCAAAGCTCCACAGCAGAGATTGGAGTATCTGTCCATAGGACCACTTTAAGCGATACACTCCACAGAGCTGGGCGTTACGGAAGAGTGGCCAGAAAAAAGCCATTGCTTAAAGAAAAAAATAAGCAAACACATTTGGTGTTCGCCAAAAGGCATGTGGGAGACTCCCCAAACATATGGAAGAAGGTACTCTGGTCAGATGAGACTAAAATTGAGCTTTTTGGCCATCAAGGAAAACGCTATGTTTGGCGCAAACCCAACACCTCTAATTACCCCGAGAACACCATCCCCACAGTGAAGCATGGTGGTGGCAGCATCATGCTGTGGGGATGTTTTTCCATCGGCAGGGACTGGGAAACTGGTCAGAATTGAAGGAATGATGGATGGCGCTAAATACAGGGAAATTCTTGAGGGAAACCTGTTTCAGTCTTCTAGAGATTTGAGACTGGGATGGAGGTTCACCTTCCAGCAGGACAATCTGCTAAAGCAACACTTGAATGGTTTAAGGGGAAACATTTAAATATCTTGGAATGGCCTAGTCAAAGCCCAGACCTCAATCCAATTGAGAATCTGTGGTATGACTTAAAGATTGCTGTACACCAGCGGAACCCATCCAACTTGGTCCTCTGTAGCTCAGCTGGTAGAGCACGGCGCTTGTAACGCCAAGGTAGTGGGTTCGATCCCCGGGACCACCCATACACAAAAATGTATGCACGCACGACTGTAAGTCGCTTTGGATAAAAGCGTCTGCTAAATGGCATATTATATTATAACTTGAAGGACCTGGAGCAGTTTTGCCTTGAAGAATGGGCAAAAATCCCAGTGGCTAGATGTGCCAAGCTTAGAGAGACATACCCCAAGAGACTTGCAGCTGTAATTGCTGCAAAAGGTGGCTCTACAAAGTATTGACTTTGGGGGGGGGGGGGGGGGGGGGTGAATAGTTATTGTTTCACAATAACACATATTTTGCATCTTCAAAGTGGTAGGTATGTTGTGTAAATCAAATGATACAAACCCCCCCAAAAAAATAATTTTAATTCGAGGTTGTAAGGCAACAAAATAGGAAAAATGCCAAGGAGGTGAATACTTTTGAAACAATTTTTTTCATTTCACTTCACCAATTTGGACTATTTTGTGTATGTCCATTACATGAAATCCAAATAAAAATCCATTTAAATTACAGGTTATAATGCAACAAAATTGGAAAAACACCAAGGGGGATGAATACTTTTGCAATGCACTGTATCTTCACTTCTGTGCGTATGTGCTTGTATAATAGTGTGTGTGTGTTTTTCAATGTGTCTGTGCACTTGTACACTATTTTGTACTGTATACGGAAAGTATTCAGACCCCTTGACTTTTTCCACATTTTGTTACGTTACAGCCTTATTCTAAAATGGATTAAATAAAAACAATTCCTCAGCAATCTACAGACAATACCCCATAATGACAAAGCAAAAACAGATTTGTAGATTTTTTTTCCAAATGTATTAAAAGTAAAAAACAGATAGCTTATTTACATAAGTATTCAGATCCTTTGCTATGAGACTCGAAATTGAGCTCAAGTGCTTCCTGTTCCCATTGATCATCCTTGAGATGTTTCTACAACTTGATTGGAGTCCATCCGTGGTAAATTCAATTGATTGGACATGATTTGGAAAGGCACACACCTGTCTATATAAGGTCCCACAGTTGACAGTGCATGTCAGAGCAAAAACCAAGCCATGAGGTCGATGGAATTCTCAGTAGAGCTCCGAGACAGGATTGTGTCGAGGCACAAATCTGGGAAAGGGTACCAAAATATTTCTGCGGCATTGAAGGTCCCCAAGAACACAGTGGCCTCCATCATTCTTAAATGGAAGAAGTTTGGAACCACCAAGACTCTACCTAGAGCTGGCTGCCCGGCCAAACTGAGCAATCGGGGGAGAAGGGCCTTGGTCAGGGAGGTGACCAAGAACCCGATGGTCACTCTGACAGAGCTCTAGAGTTCCTCTGTGGAGATGGGAGAACCTTCCAGAAGGACAACCATCTCTGCAGCATTCCACCAATCAGGCCTTTATGGTAGAGTGGCCAGGCGGAAGCCACTCCTCAGTAAAAAGGCACATGACAGCCCGCTTGGAGTTTGCCAAAAGGCACCTAAAGACTCTCAGACCATGAGAAACAAGATTCTCTGGTCTGATGAAACCAAGATTGAACTCTTTGGTCTGAATGCCAAGTGTCACGTCTGGAGGAAACCTGGCACCATCCCTACGGTGAAGCATGGTGGTGGCAGCATCATGCTGTGGGGATGTGTTTCGGTGGCAGGAACTGGGAGACTAGTCAGGATCGAGGCAAAGATGAACGGAGCAAAGTACAGAGAGATCCTGGATGAAAACCTGCTCCACAGCACTCAGAACCTCTGACTGGGGCGAAGGTTCACCTTCTAACAGGACAACGACCCTAAGCACACAGCCAAGACAACGCAGGAGTGGCTTCGGGACAAGTCTCTGAATGTCCTTGAGTGGCCCTGCCAGAGCCCGGACTTGAACCCGATCTAACATCTCTGAAGAGACCTGAAAATAGCTGTGCAGCAACGCTCCCCATCCAACCTGACAGAGCTTGAGAGGATCTGCAGAGATGAGATTGAGAAACTCCCCAAATACAGGTGTGCCAAGCTTGTAGCGTCATGCCCAAGAAGACTCGATGCTGTAATCGCTGACAAAGGTGTTCAACAAAGTACTGAGTAAAGGGTCTGAATACTTATGTAAATGTGACATTTCTAAAAACCTGTTTTTGCTTCGTCATTATGGGGTATTGTGTTTAGATTGACGAGGGGGGAAAAAAACAATTTAATCAATTTTAGAATAAGGCTGTAACGTAACAAAATGTGGAAAATGTCAAGGGGTCTGAATACTTTCCGAAGGCACTGTATGTGTTTGTGTATGTTTGTGTGTATGTTTGTGTGCCTGTGTGTCTCACCATCAGCCTTCCCGTCCTGCCGGGGGTAGCAGTTATAAAACACCCCGCGAGCATCGTGGGTCCAGGCCAGGCAGCTGAACTTCACCCTGTCCAGGACATCAGGCAGCTTCATGAGGTCATCAGCCTTCAGGAAGTGCACTGTCACCCAGTCGGAGCCACTGGAGCTCAGGCCGTATGCAAAGTACTCACACTCCTCCGATAGACGCCCCACTGGAAGGAGAGAGGAAGGGGAAGTAGAGAGAGGCAAGTGTATAATGTAGGCCTATCATTGATGTTTTTGTGTTTTAGCAATATACTCCACCGTTGTCACAGCAATCAAATCTAATAACAGAGGAAGAATGTAAATGGCTTGATAAGATAGGGGGAGGAGTTGTGAGGGCTCAGGTTGAGACAGACAAAGTTACGGTGTGTTTGTGTGTATTACAGTAATCAGGAGCTCACTCTTCAAAGCTACAGTCCCATCCTCAGACAGTGTGTTTGGGTCAAAGAAGACTGTGGCCGGTCCATCCAGAGAGTCCTGCACATAGAGCGCATCCTGGTTCTGCAGGCCCTGGTTATGGAAGTAGAAATACCTACAGACAGAGGAAATGCCTGTTACACCATGGAGAGCATCAGACACACATATGTACTCTTTATAAAGTGTATAACAACCAGTGGAATAACCTGTATGTAACATACACTACCGTTCAAAAGTTTGGGGTCACTTAGAAATGTCTTATTTTACCCATCTTAATCTTTAATTTTTATTGGCCAGTCTGAGATATGGCTTGTTCTTTGCAACTCTGCCTAGAAGGTCAGCATCCCGGAGTCGCCTCTTCACTGTTGATGTTAAGACTGATGTTTTGCGGGTACTATTTAATGAAGCTGCCAGTTGAGGACATGTGAGGCATCTGTTTCTCAAACTAGACACTCATGTATTTGTCCTCTTGCTCAGTTGTGCACCGGGGCCTCCCACTCCACTTCTGGTTAGAGCCAGTTTGCGCTGTTCTGTGAAGGGAGTAGTACACAGCGTTGTACGAGATCTTCAGTTTCTTGGCAATTTCTCGCATGGAATAGCCTTCTTTCTCAGAACAAGAACAGTAATTCTTGTAATCGAACCCACAATTTCTGATACTCCAGATACTCAACTAGTCTCAATAAGTCTTTATTGCTTCTTTAATCAGTACAACAGTTTTCAGCTGTGCTAACATAATTGCAAAAGGATTTTCTAATGATCAATTAGGAGTGTGAGTGTATTTTCTTGGGAAACAGAAATAATAGTATGCAGGCTTTTGTTCCAGCCCAGCACTGAATCTGTTGATTCAGCTCATCAACTGATTCCTAACCTGTTCTTGCAGGGGCAGCTGTAGTTTAGTTCCTAACCGGTTTCTTCTCTTGTAGGGGCAGCTGTATTTTTTAGTTCCTACCTGTTTCCTCTCTTGTAGGGGCAGCTGTATTTGGGGTAGTCATAGAGCTCAGTTAGCCGCTGGTGAAACTGAGGCCTGACTGCACACTGCTCCAGGAATGGCATGGTCAGCTTATTCTGCTCCTCCACAAAGGCCTGGGAAAACACATGCACACATGTCAGAGTTCAGGAATAGGTTACAACTATAATTTTGCAATACATCCCTTGTTATTGTGTATTTTCCATAATGCATCACAATCACCTTTGTTTCTTCACTGTCAGGATCTTCCAACCAGGCATAAGGGTCACATATCTTAACCCCATGGTAGTCATCCACCTTCAGGATAGAAATACGACACTTAAATATTACAACACACTAAAAAACACACATTGTTTGAAAAGGATGCGTCACAACCTCACCTGTCTGTTCGACAGCTGAGTTCTACAGAATGTCAGTAAATCACCTTATATTACATTTAATTAATGGGCTATGATGTGGCAATTTCCAGTGGATTCCAGTTAAAAAAGAAAAAAACTGACTGATTTATGGCCTACAGCATGTGTACATGCCTCTGGCTAAAGACACAATTAAAGCAACAGTCTTAAATATATAATCATTAGTTGCTACATCCATTATATATATATATATATATATATATATATATATATATATATATATATACAGTGGGGAGAACAAGTATTTGATACACTACTGATTTTGCAGGTTTTCCTACTTACAAAGCATGTAGAGGTCTGTAATTTTTATCATAGGTACACTTCAACTGTGAGAGACGGAATCTAAAACAAAAATCCAGAAAATCACATTGTATGATTTTTAAGTAATTAGTTTGCATTTTATTGCATGACGTAAGTATTTGATCACCTACCAACCAGTAAGAATTCCGGCTATCACAGACCTGTTAGTTTTTCTTTAAGAAGCCCTCCTGTTCTCCACTCATTACCTGTATTAACTGCACCTGTTTGAACTCGTTACCTGTATAAAAGACACCTGTCCACACACTCAATCAAACAGACTCTAACCTTTCCACAATGGCCAAGACCAGAGAGCTGTGTAAGGACATCAGGGATACAATTGTAGACCTGCACAAGGCTGGGATGGGCTACAGGACAATAGGCAAGCAGCTTGGTGAGAAGGCAACAACTGTTGGCGCAATTATTAGAAAATGGAAGAAGTTCAAGATGACGGTCAATCACTCTCGGTCTGGGGCTCTATGCAAGATCTCACCTCGTGGGGCATCAATGATCATGAGGAAGGTGAGAGATCAGCCCAGAACTACACGGCAGGACCTGGTCAATGACCTGAAGAGAGTTGGGACCACAGTCTCAAAGAAAACCCTTAGTAACACATTACGCCGTCATGGATTAAAATCCTGCAGCGCACGCAAGGTCCCCCTCATCAAGCCAGCGCATGTCCAGGCCCGTCTGAAGTTTGCCAATGACCATCTGGATGATCCAGAGGAGGAATGGGAGAAGGTCATGTGGTCTGGGCGACAGGTAGCTTAGTGGGTAAGAACGTTGTGCCAGTAACCGAAAGGTCGCTGGTTCTAATCCCCGAGCTGACTAGGTGAAAAATCTGTCGATGTGCCCTTAAGCAAGGCACTTAACCCTAATTGCTCATGTAAGTCGCTCTGGATAAGAGCGTCTGCTAAATGACTAAAATGTAAATGTAAATGTCTGATGAGACAAAAATAGAGCTTTTTGGTCTAAACTCCACTCGCCGTGTTTGGAGGAAGAAGAAGGATGAGTACAACCCCAAGAACACCATCCCAACCGTGAAGCATGGAGGTGGAAACATCATTCTTTGGGGATGCTTTTCTGCAAAGGGGACAGGACGACTGCACCGTATTGAGGGGAGGATGGATGGGGCCATGTATCGCGAGATCTTGGCCAACAACCTCCTTCCCTCAGTAAGAGCATTGAAAATGGGTCGTGGCTGGGTCTTCCAGCATGACAACGACCCGAAACACACAGCCAGGGCAACTAAGGAGTGGCTCCGTAAGAAGCATCTCAAGGTCCTGGAGTGGCCTAGCCAGTCTCCAGACCTGAACCCAATAGAAAATCTTTGGAGGGAGCTGAAAGTCCGTATTGCCCAGCGACAGCCCCGAAACCTGAAGGATCTGGAGAAGGTCTGTATGGAGGAGTGGGCCAAAATCCCTGCTGCAGTGTGTGCAAACCTGGTCAAGACCTACAGGAAATGTATGATCTCTGTAATTGCAAACAAAGGTTTCTGTACCAAATATTAAGTTCTGCTTTTCTGATGTATCAAATACTTATGTCATGCAATAAAATGCAAATTAATTACTTAAAAATCATACAATGTGATTTTCTGGATTTTTGTTTTAGATTCCGTCTCTCACAGTTGAAGTGTACCTATGATAAAAATTACAGACCTCTACATGCTTTGTAAGTAGGAAAACCTGCAAAATCGGCAGTGTATCAAATACTTGTTCTCTCCACTGTATATATATATATATATATACCCATTGATTCTTGAAAAATATAACTTATAAATGCCTCATGAGCTTAGTCAACTGTGGTACCCCATCAGAACCCAAAATACAAGCTTGTTTTACTCCAATGTTTAATTAACAACGTACATTTAAACAAACACGGTATAGCCTCAAAACATAGTTTAAACTATAATTGTTTATATCATGGATGGTCAGTCCGCATCCATACAGGTCTATTAATTATAGTGGTTAAATTTCTCATTTTTACCAAAACACCACTTTGTTATTGTTTCATTTAATGATTCTAGATGTAATCTTATGACCCTTCTGCTGTATAAATTTTACGCCACATTGGACGACTTATTTCAGGGTTACTCAGCTCAGCCACACTGGTTTTGCACACAGTGAAGGCCTGCTCTTTTTTGCTCCCTCATCCTGCAATATCTTCCTTCTTGTGCGCTGCGCCTGCCACTTTAAGAATGGGCGAGAGAGATTTGAAGCTGAAAGCGCTGTTGGAATTTGACACCGACCTTACTCTCATCTCTCCGAGCTGCCGGGTACTTAAAAGCCATGGCAGAGTGTCTAAATGTGTTCTTATGTCTCTTCAAGCAGTCGCCGTCCGCTGTTTTGCTTTCTTAGTTTGTCCACCTGTCTGTCCGTACCACTACTCCACACCCTGCATGACTCAGTGACAGGATGCCCGAAGTGAAAGTAAAATCATGTTCCCCTCTCGTGTTTGACGGTGTCCACTAGTTACCACAGCCACAAAGTAAAAATGGTCTCTATCGTAAAAAAAATAATGAAAACAAACATTTGCTTTTTGGTCTTAATTTGAGGCTAGGCATAAGGTTAGCACTTTGGTTAGGGTTAGGTTTAAAATCAGATTTTAAGAAGATCATTTGCAGAAATAGGCGGGGTTTATGACTTTGTAGCTGTGGTAACTAGTGACTACCGGGTTTCACAAACTGACATGGGCAAAGATTTTTTATAACTAATGACGCGTTCATGTGCTAGTCGGAACTAGGAAATTCAGAAATGTCCTGCTTGCACACTGGTTGAACGTGGCACGTGTGTAACTACAACCATTTAGCAAGTCGGAAATTTCAGAGTTCCGACAAGCAATTGAGCGCAGCATAAATCATTGTTCTATCTGTGACATGAGTCTGTCCCGCTGAGGTCGATACTGCTCCCAACAGGATGTGATGTCATCACCATTCAGACAGGGCAGGGCACAGTCAATGAATAGGTGTTGTTATTTTCTCATTCTCTCTCTGTGTATTTGTTTATTTATTTGTCTGAAGTGTGGTATTATTTTAAGTGCAGAAAAACGACACCCTGGTCTGAGTATAAATGTTGATAGGTAGATAAACGGAAGAGGAAAGCAAGGGAAGACACGAGATGGGCGTCTTGTGTCTGAGTGTGTATGAACAGCAGGTTGACGTTTATTGTCATGAGTCTTGTCCTGGAGGCAGAACTGAGAAATGTCCCCTTAGATAGGCCAGCTCTAAAGTCCAAATTGGCTATATTGTAATTTAAGGTTAGGGTTAGGCATTAGGGTTAGCAGTGTGGTTAAGGTTGGGGTTAAGGTTAGTTAGGTTTGTGGCTGTGACCACTGCAGAGCTGCCTCCAGAACAAGATTCATGACAAAAAACACTGAACAAGGGGATTTGTTTGGTGTTAGTGGATGAGTGTAATAGAAGTGTATTTGTTGGATTGCTTACTACATGTTGGAAGAGAAAGAGGATTTATGTGTCTGTCTTTGTGACATAAACGTGTCGCAGGAGTGTGACAGGGACCAGGTCTCAAAGTCCTTACGTGCTTGTGTGTGTTACTCATGTCTGGTCTGTGGCAGTGAGTTTTTGATGTGGCTCTCAAGAGATGCCACGCTTTGAATGTCAACACACCCTTGGGGGCCGTACACACATGCATACACACACTTGTGTACGCACTGCACTTGCTCACAAACCCAACAAAAAAACACCTGCACACACCATTGAGGCAGTTCAATTGAATGCCAGCTGGTGGAGACTTAAATCCAGGGACATTTAGTTGGCAATGATGTCAATGAGTTGACCTGTAAATCTCCAGATGTTTGTATTGGGCAAACAAAAATGGCAACAAACAACAAAGACATTAAGGTAATGCAAACTGTCCTCACCAAAGTTATATTATGTAGCCTATTCCTGGGTATCAAGCATTCATGAACAAACACGATACTCTCTCTCTCTCTCTCTCTCTCTCGCTCTCTGTCAATTCAATCTCTCTTATTGAATTATGTATGTGATACATGGTTGGGATACGAAAGTGATACGTGGTTGTCTCGCCTGGCCATCTTAAGATGAATGCACTAGCTGTGGGTCGCTCTCCAAGGGAGCGTCTGCTGAATGGCTAAATTGTAATGTAAATGTAGTGCTATGTCTGTATACAGTGCATTTGGAAAGTATTCAGACCCCTTGACTTTTTCCACATTTTGTTACGGATTCAATTGTTTTTTCCCCTCATCAATCTACACACAATACCCCACAATGACAAAGCAAAAACAGGTTTCTATATCTTTTTGCACATTTACTAAAAAATTTAACAGAAATATTACATTTACATAAGTATTCTGACCACTCCTGTGTTGTCTTGGCTGTGTGCTTAGGGTCGTTGTCCTGCTGGAAGGTGAACCTTCGCCCCAGTCTGATGTCCTGAGAGCTCAGGAGCAGGTTTTCATCAAGGATCTCTCTGTACTTTGCTCCGGTAAACTTTCCCTCAAACCTGACTAGTCTCCCAGTCCCTGCCGCTGAAAAACGTGCCTTGTGGCAAACTCCAAGCGGGCTGCCGTTCCTTTTTCTGAGGAGTGGCTTCCATTTGCCCACTCTACCATAAAGGCCTGATTGGTGGAGTGCTGCAGAGATGGTTGTCCTTCTGGAAGGTTCTCCCATCTCCACAGAGGAACTCTGGAGCTCTGTCAGAGTGACCATCGGGTTCTTGATCACGTTCCTGACCAAGGCCCTTCTCCCCCGATTGCTCAGTTTGGCCGGGCAGCCAGCTCAAACTTCCACTTAAGAATGATGGAGGCCACTGTGTTCTTGGGGACCTTCAATGCTGCAGAAATGTTTTTGGTACCCTTCCCCAGATCTGTGCCTCGACACAATCCTGTCTCGGAGCTCTACTGACAATTCCTTCGACCTCATGGCTTGGTTTTTGCTCTGACATGCACTGTCAACTGTGGGACCTTATATAGACAGGTGTGTGCCTTTCCAAATCATGTCCAATTAATTGAATTTACCACAGGTGGACTCCAATCAAGTTGTAGAAACATCTCAAGGATAATCAATGGAAACAGGATGCACCTGAGTTCAATTTCGAGTCTCATAGCAAAGGGTCTGAATACTTATGTAAATAAGGTATTTCTGTTTTTAAATTTTTTTAAATACATTTGCAAACATTTCTAAAAACCAGTTTTTTTTTTGTCATTATGGGGTATTGTGTGTAGATTGATGAGGAACATTTCTTATTTAATCCATTTTAGAATAAGGCTGTAACGTAACAAAATGTGGAAAAAGTGAATACTTTCCGAATGCACTGTATGTACGTAAAGCGCGCACCTGACACAGGCCAGGCAACCTCCGTTGTTCACTGGAAGAAAACGGAGGAGGTGAGACCGGGAACAGCTCGAAGGTCGGGACCTGTAAAACATAGTTATACATAGGTATAACCTTGGACGCAAAAGCTGTATTAGGATGTAACCACCAACGGATCAGACCCCGGGGTAGAGACGTCAATCCCTACATGACACGCCGAGAGTCAAAACATTTATTTAATCCGTTTTAGAATAAGGCTGTAACGTAACAAAATGTGGAAAAAATCAAGGGGTCTGAATACTTTCCGAATGCACATGTATATTATGTATTTATTTGTTGTGTACAGGAAGAGTAGCCGCTGCCTCGGCAGTAGCTAATTGGGAATCCTAATAAACACTAGTACTAATATCCCCACAGCAGCCATACGTCAGAGGGCAGGCTGACAGACACACGTCAACATGGTAGCACAGATTATGCGCATACAGATTTGTAGAAGTACATAAATGTCTGGACACACACTCGTATGATAAATACCTACACACTCTCTTGAATGCACAGACACAATCATGAATGTACATACTTACTGTGAACTACACACACACACTATTCACAAGAATAAGAGCATGTAATACAGTGTGATACAGTACATCCTTTCATAGACCATAGTGTTATTATTGATACAGTAGCTGTGTCATGATTAAAGAGAACAGGTTCTGATACAAAGTCACCTGACTATTAAAATTCAGCAAGTCATACTTATAAGGAAATGATGTCACCAATCAACCTTATTCCTGATTCACACTCCTATAGAAATGTTTCCTAGACTCAACACGACCTGGTTATAAAAATAACTTGATGTCAACAATCCACCTTCAGTTTCACTGCCAAATGACACAAATACACGGGTGAAAACCTCCATTAGTTTCCGACGCAGATCACTTTTCTGAGGTGACTCATATTTGCCATGTACTGTGCTTTCTATGACGTAGTGTGATAATGCCTAAAGTAATTCGATTTAACTTCAAGGAGATGGAAATCCTTCCTCTCCACCACCCCCCTCTCTCTCTCTCTCTCTCTCTCTCTCTCTCTCTCTCTCTCTCTCTCTCTCTCTCTCTCTCTCTCTCTCTCTCTCTCTCCCTCTCTCTCTTCCCCCTCTCTCTTTATCGCTCTCTTGTCCTCCACTATGGCCCTCAGGTATTCACCTGTTACCTAATGGAGCAGGTGTTTTGGACCGCCCTGACTGGCAGACAGACAGATAGTCTCTCCTCAGGTTGTGTGGATAAACTACAGAGGCAAGCCAGTGACCACACACAACACACACACAACAACCCTGGGTGGTCCTCTCAACACTGGGAAAACGAGAAAACGTTTTTAGAGAAATTCGCCTGTCAAGCAGACTGTGATTGCTTCACTGTTTTTATGGTCAAAAACAGCTGCTGCTACTACTACTTTTCAAAATAGACTATTACTGATATGTTCGTTTTTCATGTGTACAAGTCTATGTTGCATGCTTTCATACGATTCTGTCAAATAGAAACATTGTTTGTGAAGCATAAAAAAGCAGACAAGATGCTGTAAACAGTCACACTTCTGGTGTAGCATTATTTTAGCTATAAGAGTGTATGTTTTACACAAACTATTTTTAAGCTTAGTGTGAGGCTATGAACCTTCACAATTTATTGCTATTTCTCTATTGTGGTTTCATAGATGAATTAACTGAGGAATAAGAGGGTTTTGTGTAGGCAGACATTTGTTGTGATGTGGCGCATCCGTAGCGCATCATGGATTAGCCCTAAGGATGGAGAGAACAAAAACAGGTTTTGAGTTTCGGACGTTCAATCTGTCTAATCCATAAAGCTGTGAAAACGACTTGGAGAAGGAGGGAGGGAGGAAGGAGTCAGGGAGGAGAGGACAGATGGTTAATTTTGGTCTAATTAGTGTTGCAGTGAAAAGCAAGATCGTGTCCCAAATGGTACCCTATAGTGCATCATTTTTTACCAGGG